TGATAGAATCAGTACCGAGAATGAGACTGGCACATTATATTGCTTAATTTTCTTCTGATTTGGTAAATCCCAAGGACTCGGGCTTTAATACAGTTACCTTTTTTTAAGACTATTATTCTCTGTTGTATTCAACTCATAATAGTAATGCCATTAGAACACACAGTCTATCTTCAGAGCATTAAGAATTTCTATGCAAGAGTCAATCCCAGAGGGGCACCTGAATGCTGATATGGACATCTCCTATAGAATATATTCTGTGTGCTCATTTCACTGAATATCAGACTATTTTTGATTTTCAAATTAAGCTGAAATCTAATCTTGAGAGGTGACTGGAATAATCATTTGTTTGACTATCTAATGAATGAGGCTTTTTAAATGCACCACTTCTAATAAATTATCATTATCATTTTGCACAATGCAATCTTCATTATAGATATCTGTTCAATTTGGAAATGACAATTGATACTTCACAACACAGGTCACAGCAGTAACTCTTAGACTGCTCCTTTGAGCCCTCCACCCATCAAGCCATTCCTCTTTTGCCATGCTGCAAACTCCACAGTGCTTGACAAGGGAATTAGTGCTGACTGTAGGAGAAGCACACCTCTTACTGACAACACTGCAAGCCAGCACTTTCTTGAGAAGTCACAGGCGTCGCTGTTTACTGGACGTACCAGCTACTTGTAACTGGTAACACACAGATTTTCTTTTTTTATGGTATTGATCCATGCAGACTAGGGCATGAGACATGAAGTAAATGTACACGCTATCCCTTGGAATGTGCATTCAAATTGTTCGCATTGTGATTCCACTTTATCAGCTGGAGATCTACTGTATGGCAACAGAGTTTAGGAAGAAGCAGCTCTCACCATGAGCACTGCAACATCACAGGAGAACAAAAAGTTACAGGTATCTCTGCTGTACAGGAAACTAAGGACAAGGATTTGGGACTTCTGTTTCAGTAGCCCATCTGATAGTAATATTCCAAAATAGGTCATTTCCTTTCACAGACAACCAGTACATTAGCTCAGATTCAAAATTTGGATTGTGGAACCTGTGCTCTAAACCATTGTTAATACTGGTTAAGCCACTCAAGAGACAAGACATGTTTTTTTTTCATACTCTTGAGTAAAAAAAGTACTTAGTTTTTCTAAATAATTATGACATCACTTCCTTCTTGGTTTTTGTAGCAAGTTATCAGCAAGTTACAACTAACAGCTGTATGTTAGAATATTAACATAGGACATGCACAAGAGTACTATACCCCCTCAAGCTGAAACATTGACTGTGATCCAGGAGCTGGAGTGTCAGCATTGTACAGGTATGCAGTACAGCTACGCCGTCACTGTCACCATTTCACAGAAAAAAAAAAACTTCATGGTACTGTATATATGCTACTGAAGTGTGAACAGTGCATTTATTAAAGAGCTAGCCTGAAAACAAATTTGAAGAGTTTATGTGACTTACTATACATGTTACATAATTAAGTCTGACAATGGAACTATTTTATAATGTTACAAAAGAGCTTGGAAGTCAACAAGAGAACATTATTTTTCACCATTTTACAATGTACTTTGAATGTCATCCAAAATGCACATAAAGACTGATTATAAACGTACTTAAATAATACATTTAAATAGACTGATTATATCAATCACTGAGATACACTCAACATAATCTACCGTGTGTAAAAGTAGCACCTAATGCAGAATTGTGTCATCGACTGAATTACAAATCTACATACGGTATGTACTTTGTGTTACATGATAATTTGATTTGATGTTGTTTGTGTTTTATCCACAGAATGAAAAAATAAATATTACTCTTTGCACTTGTAAGAGTCATTCTTGAAGTCACCCAGCATGAGCTACATTTACACAGAAACTCACACATTCTTCATTGGTACTCATTTAATCTCTCCATAACTTAATGAAACAATCACTTTCCATTGCTTTCCACTTAAACACAAAGTGCTAGCATTTTTGCAGTTCATTTTCTGTCCCCACTATTATTTGTATTACAAATGGAAATGTGAATGCGGCTGCATATTTATTATATAAATTGCTATAGTAAATTTGAACATTGTTGCCTATTTATAATGGAAGTTGTTTGAGAAAATGAGCTTCTGAAAGCACATGAATCTTGGGATATTGCATGAATACTAAAAAAGTAACAAACACCTTGGATCTGTTACTCAAAATATGTTTCTTTGAAGATGTAATGTGTGGTGTACTTTAAGTCATTAAAGTGGGCATAATGTCTGCCATTTTAAGATAAAATCAGAGTGCATGTATCAACACATGCTGTTCACTTTCCTATGAATATAAAACACCACTGGTGCTTAAAGTGAAGGTAGACTCAAAGTATAGCAGGTACATACAGCATACACAAATCTATATATACATCACTTTAAAAACATAAATGTTTTGCAAAGTAAGTTTGGATTATTTGGTTTATAGGTTTATTGAGAATCTTATTGCAAAAGAGGCAAATTATGTCAATGTGTGGATTCAACATGACTTGTTTACAGTACTAAAAACATTAACAATTTCAGTGATGAAAGAGAAAGAAAAAATCTTACCTACCTTAAAACTCCCATCTTTTCCTCCCTCTCGCTAAACATGCCTTGATTTGTCTTGATATACTGTAGTTCTGTGTATAATTATATAATACTTACCACATAGTAAAAAAAACAAACTTCCATGGTATCACAGAAGTAAAGGTCTTGGTACAACATTACTGTTTTGCCAAACATCTACTGTAGGTTAAAAGTAGGGCAATGTCATGGACTCCTAATGTCTTGCATGACATTCAGTGCAGACTTAACAAAGGTCAAAAAGGTCAACGCATACAGGTCAAACTCCAGGGTTTCAGAGTTTTGTTTTGTTTCAAATAAAGGTCCATTAGAAGTCATACAACAACTAAGAAGGGCAACCCTCTTTGGGACTTTTACCACTTATGGCCTACAAGGATTGTCTCACTTCTGATAAAACTGTGAAAACCATCAGTCAGGATATTTTACAAACTCATTACAGTTTAAAGACAAGCTCTCCTGAGAAAAATCAGTTCCATTCAGATGCAATTTGTGTGTAATTAAAACAGTGTTTCTCTCTTAAAAAACATCATGGATTAAAGACTGTAATTTAAAACACATGGATGTCTTTGACTGGTGAATACCAGTTACTTTGTTGTGTCACAAAGTGCTAAAATCTTTCTTCCCGCACTAAAGTTCGTTGCATCCAGTTAAAAACATCTGTACAGAATACATTAATATGTTCTTAATAATGTAAAGAATAACTACATGGGCACATCAGGGCTTATTGTCACTGGGGACACTGACATGCCTTTCTCTTAAAGTAATAATAAAATAAAAAGGTACATTTTTATAATGCATTTTTCCATGATGTTGAATCAAATGCTTATGTGCATAAAGCATATTGAATGATGTACTGTACAAGGACATTATACATATGTTTCTAGAAATTTACTGAACCAGTGTAAACTCAGCATGAATATTCCCATTCAAAACAAATTTCTCATGCTTCTTGAGTTATATTCAGGCTCATAAATGTTATAAATAAACCCGCGAGTACTTGTAATGAGTAGTGTTCAGAAAACAGGTGACACCAAAAGACTTTCAGACGCAGGACCTCACTGCTCTGAGCTGCTCTTGCAGAGAAAACCTCAGTGTATGACCGATGACTAGACTGTTCATTTGTACAGCAGAATCAGACTTTTACAATAGATTTATGAATGCATGCCATCACCTTTGCCGTCTGTGGTTGACTGGGAATCCCATTGAAAGCCAGGGAAATTGTACAGTATTTCTCTTTCACAAAGTGAGCTTGTGTGCAATAGGGAAGAATAAATGTGCAATGTATTTGCAGTGGAGTGAAATGTGAATGCTGTATGTACAGTAAGTTAGGGTAGTAAATAGATGTATGCATTTTAAAATAAAACGGTGTCAGTCTGTGTACTAATATAGTAGTGAGTTGAAGCAAAGTGGCTAGGTTTACTAAGAGATATGACCCTATAATTAATTTGTCTAAGTCTTACTTTAACCTTTATAATAGAAGAAAAAAAAAGAATTGAATAAACTTGTACAGTATGTCCTAAGACATTTTTTGCAGGGCCTGTTTAAGTGTACATTGCATTCGCTCTTGAGCGATAACCTCAGCTAAAGATGACTAAAACGGACATTTCACTTTGATTTATCTTCATCATCAGTGTAGCTGTGCAAAATCTGTCGCTTCGAAGTAAATGTCAAATTATATGTGAATGTGAGAAACCATTAATTGGTGAGTGACTAAAAAAAACTTTTGTAAAGTCTGAAAATCCTTCATTAGTTCATTACAGCTTATGAATAATGCATGTCAGGAAAGTTCTGTCCTAAAGTGTTGTAATGAAACCACAATGAAGCTTGGAACTTTAACTTCTTCCTACTGAGTATTAATACACCCCTTTTCAGGAATGGTTAGTATGAGTAATAAAATCACAGTCCGTATTCCCTTTTTTACTCTGAACATCCTAATCAATTTACATGCAGTGAGAAAAAATGTTCATGCATTACTAAAACACCTCTGTCTTAGAACCATGCATATTATATGAAGCACTTTGAATTTACGACTTCAAGGTTTGCTAATTAGAAATAATAGGGTGTAAAAAATCATCTGTGAGTGCAATGTTTGCCCATCATAAATTTCATCCAACTATGGATCTGTGACGCTACATAATATCCACTAAATAAGCCTGGATTCTCTCTCTATATATGTATCATTTATGAGCAAGATAAAGCATTGGAACTGATTTAATTTAGTCTTATTTTCTGTAAACAGGCTCACATTTCATACAGGTCCAATTTTTTACACCCTTGCCTGGAATAGATAATTCTCTAAATACTGTCAAAACATATAATAAAACACTTTTAAAAAAATTGAATTATATTAGAAATTTGCAGGTGACAAAAAGATAAAAAAATAGAGATCTTAATTGCAACTTACTGGATGTACAGTTTATCCTGATACAGTCTAGATGGGGAAGAATAGATGAAAGATGTAAATTTATCCTTCAAGGTTATAGCTGCAGACATCCATTAAATACAATTTCCACCCTTCTGGGGACAGACACATAAAATGTGGCCATTCTGTTGCACTGTTTTGTATGCACTGAAGCATTTATGTTTGTTTTAGTGAGTTTGTATATTCAAACACATATGTTTTTAATCTGTTTGCTTCTGTGTACAGTACACTTTTTTTTTCTCTGCTGTGCTCAAATGCATACAGTACATGAACATCATGTAAAATTATGGCCACAATCAAACAGAGCTACTTGACAACCAATCTGGGCTTGCAGATTTTTATGAGAAATTCAAAGACGTGTTCCCCAGAATGACTGCTACCACTCTATACGTGTGAAGGAACAATGGTATTTATTTTTGTTATGAAAACAAAGTCAATCAATGTTCTTTCACAATGGAGTATTTTGCAAGCCAAAGCTAGAGGAAAAGTCTTTTTCAGTTTAAGGAATTCTCAGAGGATTTCTCCACAGTTCTAATAAGGAATAATACTTTTTTGTAAGCTATCAACCAATATATAGCAAGTATATGATTATATATAATAAATACACTGTACAATCACATTGTCTGTAAGAGACAGAGTATAATATTCTTCCTGTATGATAGTCGTAACTTTACAATCAGACTGAAAACTGTCATATTCAGGCTTGACTGGCACTGGAAAAGAAGTCACGAAATCCTCTGAGAAATGTGACAAATTAACCCAGGCTCCATTCCCATGTAGCTCAGTCTGTCATGTGTCGTCAACCGCAACAGAAAAGTGGTTGCAAACAGCCAAAGACCACAATGTACACATGCCCTTACAGGGAATGCTGTGCTTTAAAAACACATCTGCTGTATCAGATGTGTGACTCCTGTGATTTTGTACCATCCTGCTTAATATCAACTGCATCCAGCATTTTTGTGCAATACCATGCAGATATTGCTACAGGGACCCTACAGGCAATACTTCTGGGTCATCTTGTTAGTATTCTGTGGTAAATGGTGACATTTTGAAAGTGATTTCTGTTTGCAAAGGAAAAGGGATGACTATCATTCCTGTAAAAATGCTATTTGTGAAATATTAAACTTTGCAAAAGCCTCACAAATTCTCCCAAGCCTTCCATCTGCTGAGAGACAAATTACAAACATGCTCCTTCTGAGTGATCTTTATCATTCAGAAAGCTGTTAGCTCTGTCAGAACTGGGTAAGCCACAGGACGAGAGCTTTAGGAATCAACGGGGTCCTCCTGAATAGAAATGAGCAACTATACATATATATAGGAAAATGTAATGAAAGAATCAATTCAATTTCTTCTTCACCTCTTTCTTGTGGGCATATAATTTCTCATTTCTACAGCCATTTTATTTGAAGCATAAAGTGTATTTTGGAGGCATTTTCTACCTCTGTTGATAAACATGCTGTAAAGCTACAAACCAGATAGGTCTGTAATTTTCTGACAGTAAATGATTGTTGTACTGTAAAGGTTTACCTTTACAGTACATGGCTATCAGGATACAGCCGGCAAAAGTATGCTTTAAAAATCCTACCTCTGTTTTTTTTAATGTACTTGTAATTAACTGTACCTAAGAATTACTTTTTGGCTAAAGCCATGTATAAACATTGCCATGCAATTAAATTAAAAGATGTAGGGTGCAGGACTAAGGAGTAGCAAGCATTCCTTCTGCAGTAAGGGCTGTACAGTGCTCACTTGGCAGTCTGCTCAGGGCCGCAGTCTCAGGCCATTGAAGGGCTCTACACCATCCCCTTCTTTTCAATACAAAAACAGGCTTGTTGATCACTAACAATACCATTTGGAACAGAAGCAAAAATAGTTCTATACATTTCTGTGCATGATATATGGGGGAAATATTTAAAATGTATGCAACTTTATTTTACTCCAGAAGCCCTCAAATAGCTAGCTTTTAAAGGTGTCTTTATATATTACTATGAGGCATTTTCAAATACATATATTTCTTTGGGAGGGCTGTTTGTCTGGTGTACAAATGCAAAGATGTCCATTTACAAATCCATATTTTTATGTGTAAAATGTTTTAAAATGTTTAGCTGTATATTAAAAAATGTTAAAAATCAATAAGATAGCACTATGAATGTTGGACTTCCATGCAGTGATGGGTGATAGTGAGAGGTGTGTTAGGGTTACCTAGGTTGACAGTCAGTCTCACTCTGCCAGCATCCAATTCCAGTCGCAGGGTATCAGCAGAGTCCCTGGATGTTGTTGCCATTAGAATCCCATAGGCTCTCTGTGATCTGAACCGAAGGGAGACGTCTTCTGCTTCAGTGTGCATCACCACTGGCAGCTGGATTTTCATGAACTTGCTGCCATCATAACTGAGAATTGTGGCATCTGTAAATAGAGATGTTGAAGATATAAGTGTATTTGTATTGTCAAAGACAATCCTTTGAATGAGCTCTCCTGAAGTCTATTTCCTGATCACGTATTGCAGATTTAAGTATTTTGTATACATTATGGCATGCAGGTGCTGAACTATGGACTATGTCACAATATCTGCAGTTACATTTCAGTAGATACAATCACAGTACCAGTCATCCCTTTCATTTTAAAAGAACGAAAGACAGAATATCACCAACACTGCAGAAAATAGCCAGGCTCTGCAAAAACCAGGCTCAACTGCCAGCTGCTGGAGCACTATAAAGATGTTTTAGTCCGGATGGAAATTTCAGATGACAGTGCAACCAGGGGCTGACTTCTAATCAGCTGAATAACTTTCTTTTTCCTCTAGTAATGTCAGTGTCAGTTCCTGAAGCTTCCATTTTGGTTACTTATTGAGAAAAACTATCAATGCCAAGTGGTGTAAGAGAAAAATATAAATGATGAATAGATAACAGGTGCAAAATCTTATACCCAGAGAAGGCTGACAGAGGGAAGATCAGCACATTATTATCTAAAAAAAACCTAAAAGCAACCACAGACTAAGGAAGAAATAATGCATCATTGTTGTTTGATTTCAAAATACCCACCAAAAGGCTCAATATATATTTCTTACTTGGTATATAGTGAGTTTGTTGAATAGTTTTGAAAATATACTACAACAGCTAATATAGCCAATCCTTGCCATTATCAATAGCTTTTAATTCAGAGAACTAATGCTAAGAAGGGGGAAAAGTGTTCTCGGTGGGAAAGGTATCTCCCGTTCCCAGAGTGTACTCTAGATGAAAGCTGTCAGATGGCTTTTGGCTTTGCTATGTCAGAAACCAAATGTCTGCATCAGATACCAGTCTTGCCACAGGGTCCCTATCTGAACCCTGCCCGCAGGGGGGCTGAGTCAGTAGTGAAGGGTTACTGTGTGGAACACAAAACACTGGATATTAGGCAGGACACATTTATCCTGGAGGAGATCACATCTCATCCCTTTCAAAATCCAATTTTATTCTGCACGATCCAAACCAAAGGTGTCAAAACCTGAGATGGGTGTTTGACAAATGACCATTCTTCTATCTCTCCCATACCTGAAGGGGCTTCTATGGGGATGAGCTTTATTTTGAAAGAGAAAAGGTTTGCACGACACACAATACACACATATCCATATACTGTATATGGCATCAAAAATTCCCAAAAGAACTCAGAAAAACATGCCCAAACCCGTCATCTGTAATTCCTTATTTTGGATCTATTTTGACTTCCAAGAACAGCAAACATACGGTATGAATTAAAATATACAGTATTCTTCTCAGACACAGATCCTTAACATTCTACGTTCTTTAGACTCATTGCTACTGTAAAGCAATGAATATTGTCAAGAAAAGAACAGAGGAATGTTTAGCAAAAAGAAGAAACCACACCTGTCAAAAAATGTACTGTACTGAAAAGAAACTCAAGGAAAGTTTTGAGGGAGCTGTGAGCATCAGATTTAAGAGGGTGACAGAAAGATTGTCTCCTTGGTGACAATTAATTATTGTGCAGAATTTCAGAGGAGGCTTCTCCTAACACAAAGATAAAGTTGTGTGTGCCTTAGTGAATACATTATTTAGATTTGGATACATAGTTGTTGCATATCAATAGACACAGGACATGCTATGACTTGCTATACAATTAATAATAATAATACCTAAAAATATTATACAAGATGACATGTGATTATTATTAGTTTTCTTATACAATAATTTATCAACAGCTTATTACAGAACTGTAGGAGCAGAGGTAATATTTTACCCACTGCCTAGAAGAAAGTTGCATTTTAAAACAGATCCAGATCATTAAAAAAAACAATTTTCTTTTCTGAGAAATTAACTGGCATAATAAGAGAGTACCCAAAGATTGATTATGAGGCAATACACACATTCTCTTCACAGTTTTAGTATCTCCCAAAGTAAAAAGATGACAGCCATTACACATAGGAGACTCATACCTCATCAGTGACTGGAGTGTATTTGCAATAAGAAGACAGCTATTTATTCTTGCATGTTAAGATAATAAAGAAAATGCATCAATGGGAATGGAAAAATTAGCAATAATGTTACAATCGTCAGTCTATGTACTGTATATACTGTATAATTTGGTGTTTCCAAATTTGATTAATGCTGCATATGCTCCATCCATTGATTTTCTAACCATTTTATTCAATTCAGGGTTGCAGGGGAGGCAGGACACACTCTGGATGGGATGCCAGTCCTTCACAGGGCACATACGCTCACACCAGTGCCAGTTTCCCCAGAGGTCAATGAACCTACAGTACCACTACTGTGTATCTTTGGACTGTGGGAAAAAACTTGAGCACCTGGAGGAAACCCATGTGATAAATTCCACACAGATAGCAGCCCAGGTCTGGAACTGAACCCAGGGCCACAGCGCTGTGAGACAGCTACACTAACCACTGCCCCACCATGCCACCAAGTATAATAATAATAATAATTGCTTACACTTATAGAGCGCTTTTCTGGACACTCCACTCAAAGCGCTTTACAGGTAATGGGAACTCCCCTCCACCACCACCAATGTGCAGCCCCACCTGGATGATGCGACGGCAGCCATAGTGCGCCAGAGCGCTCCCCACACATCAGCTATCAGTGGGGAGGAGAGCAGAGTAATGAAGCCAGTTCATAGAGGGGGACTATTAGGAGGCCATGATTGGTAAGGGCCAATGGGAAATTTGGCCAGGACGCAGGGGTTTCACCCCTACTCTTTTCGAGAAGCGCCCTGGGATTTTAATGACCACAGAGAGTCAGTACCTCGGTTTTACATCTCATCCGAAGGACGGCGCCTGTTTACAGTATAGTGTCCCTGTCACTATACTGGGGCATTAGGACCCACATGGACCGCTGGGTGAGCGCCCCGTGCTGGCCCCACTAACACCTCTTCCAGCAGGAGGCGCTCACCCAGCGGTCCATGTGGGTCCTAATGCCAATACTTCAATACTTGTTTTGTGTTCTAAATCATAAGCCTCATAAGTCATCAAACCACATTCTGTAACCTACTGTACTATTTTCTTATCTTTATTGTATTTCATCACAGTTCTGTTTATTAATAATATCATATCCAAATACAGAACATGCTATTAACGTTCCAATGTCAAGCAAAATAAATTTCACCTTTGGACAGAACAGAATAATTCAATTGTTACTGGTCTCCCTGATTTCATTTTCAAACAAATATATAACAATACAAAATACATTTTTGTATTGAAGGCATTTAGAGTTAGTCAGTGTTATAAGGCCTCTCCTATTTTTGCTAAACACAAATACTTGCAAAAGAAATGAAACAGTTGTTGGTGTTTTAATCTATGTTTCTGAGATAAAGGTTCATGAACACAAGGCTTTGTAATTGCACAAAAAAATCTTTCTTGGCATAACTTGAATTCATACGTGTCTGCTTTCTTGAGCAACATGACTAACACAATCAAACACATTAATTCAGCAAAAGCATTACTAACACTTTCTACTTTGTGACAGAGGGCCAACTGCAGCAATTGTGAGATCCTAAAATAGCTTGGGATCTCACAGAATGCACTCCTCTGTAGTCCAGCAGATAGAAGCACACCTGTGCAAATTTGAGCCCATGGGGTGCCTCACACTGGGACTTCAAATGGAAAAAAGACTGACAGGGAGCCAGAAAACATCGTAGTGACATCTGCCTCTCCATCTGCTTACATCGTTCTGCAAGAATTCAAAACCATTCCTCAGAAAACAGCGACCTGTCTTTGTTTTCCAAAGAAATCTAACACCAACTACATGACAGCCTTGGTACAATATGCTGGGCTGGGGGAGATGAGTAATCTTGCATTTCTATTACAAACTTCAATTGCTTTTTCCAAGACAACAGCACATTCCACTTTAGATTTTATTGCTAACAGAAATGTGTTGCCTTCCATATCGTTCTGCTCATAATGCCTCTTATGCTGATAAAACTAGGATATTGGTACCACTGTCTCCCACTGGATTTAAACACAGTATGCAGTGTCTCTTAATGCCTTCCATGCTAATAATTTTCTGTCATATACCAAGAGTCTCAAGTCTTTATTTCATTAATATTTAGACTTCAGGAACTTAATGAACTACTTATTTCTGATCTTTTTTTTTTTCTATCTAAAAAAGTCTGGTTACGATTTCTGAAAAAAATCCAAGATTGGGGAAAGATTATACTTATTACTGATGCTTGTAAATTTTATAAAATCTATAATATTATTCGTAGAAGTAGCACTGAGTTTACAAAGTAAATTAATTACATGAAATAAAACAATGTAAACTCATCTTATCCTATGTAGAGAAAAAATCCAGTTAAGTCAATAAGAATATTACACCACATTTAGATAATGTCTTGAAGATGAGCTAGAGAATACATTTTCCACCAAACTCACCCACTAGCAAATCTCCATATGCAGTTGTAGTTGCTTTCTTAATTTGATAAATCAAAAGAGATGTTTCAAATGTAAATATTTCCTAAAACAATTCTGAAACTGTTAAGGCATCACATATGTAAAGGGCAAATCTGGGAGAAAAAAATCAATTTTTTAGATTGAATATTTGATCCCTGTAACGCATGTGAAATAATATTGGTATGTAACATCTGAGATCAGAATTAATTAAAAAATATCTTGGAGTAAATGTTGCCATGGGGATTCAGAAATCCATGTTGAATATGTGTGCATTCCTCAGAGGCATCATAAATAATGTAATTGTGTTTATTGTTTTTTTTTCCTGCTTGTTTTGTCTGCCATATGTTCAGGTCTTCTTCATGCAAAGACCTTTAAAAAACATACGCCTGTTGAGTAAATATAAATGACCTGTCAACAAAGCAATTGTCTGCAGACTGGATTTGGAAGCCTGCTTGAGCATAATAAATAAACAAAGGGATTTGACTGTCACACTATGAATGTGGTGTTAAGGTGTCATGTACTGTAATAGAGTATTTCCTTTATTGATCCATGACTCAGCGCATAAAAAAGTTGGGTTTTTCAATATACCTCAATCAGCCAAACTAAAACGTTGTTAAAATCCATGTATGAACTTCAGTAATGAAGTTAGTTAATAATTTGTAAATTTGGGGATACCAACTATTTTCTTTTATATACCCTCCCAACCTTACAATTGCAAATTTTTAATCAATTTATCTTTCCCGCACCCCTGTACCGCTCGTGGAGAATGAAAGCCTATGAAACACACACCTCCGATATGCCAGGTCTGTCAGAGTCATTCGCCAATGTGACAAGCTGCTGTAAGAGCTCCACAATGCCTTGCTGGAGCATCAGCACAGAACAGAGGGAAGTACAGTATCTCTCACAGACAGACTCAGAAAAAGTCCCAGGTGCTACTATTGTGTGTAAGCTAAGAAAACAGTGCCTTAAACCCACCCATCTCTGGTGACTCTCATTGAGTCTTTAGTGGTTAAGCCACGTGACAGCACAGCTTACATTTTTAAAATAAAACAAAAATTCTGTTTATGAACTTTAAAGTAATCTTTTAAAAAATAATGATTGGACTTACATTACACAGTGCAGGAGAAAATGTACTCTATAAGCTAAACTACTTCATAGCTAAATAATAAAGTGAGTGTACAGTGTAGTGCATGACTACCCAACCTGCAGGCCTCTGGATCCACTGCAGAATTCTTAATTCAGCTCCTTAATTATTGAATCAATAAATAAAACCAACAGTTAAGGTTTGGGGGCTATTAAGCTACTGAAATGGGAGTGGACTGGAAGGATCACAGGTTAAGTATAGCTGATTTAGTGGAATGCTGTTTGAAGATATTTTATAGTGTTTATCTCAGGAGCCGTAAATGTTAGTCTTAAATCGTTGTAGTGGTTTCTGTGTTATTTTTCTCATTTTAACTTAAGAGTTCAATTTTTAATAGTTACGACTGGTTGTTCATATGGAAATACTTGACAATTACTTATGATACACATTACACTAATAAAATAGGGTACTGTGAGAAAAGTACATTTATAGTGACATTATTAGTTCAGTCATGGTCTGTTTTGTATAATTACATGTATTTAAAAGCATAACTGCACTGGAATACCAGCAATATTTCAATTTGTACAGTAGTGTGTTTCAATGTGTTATTTTACACAGGTAAACTAAAAGTAATAGTTATATAATGCAGTTACAACATCAACCATATGTTTTATACATAAAATACTGTTTATGTACTTCAAAAGTTAATATGACACAACTGCTGGAGAGTGTTACTTTCTATATACAGTAAGGTTTGTACTTAATAAGCAAACACTTGTAACTTTTATTTAAATAATGTCAAAAAGGCAATGCATATGCAATATTAATACAATCTAATTAATCCAAAATGTGTCTGGTCAAGTAAAAAAAACACACTATGAAACAGTGGTGCTTAATTGCAGTACTCCTCTGGAAACTGGATTGAAAACCCTGTTTAAAAGCACTACTTGGCATGTCACATCTTTCTATTTCCTCTGCTATTTCTTTTTATACTCTTCATTCTAGGTTCAGTACAAATATGGAAATCCAAAGAAAAATGCAAAACAACTGCAAACTCTAGTAATTTATGTGCAATTTTAAATAAATTCCTGAAGCTGCACACACTTTGATACTTTCATTAATAAACAGTATGGTCAAAAATTAAAAAAAGCTGAAATATTGTAAATTATTTCCTAAGTGTGATGTTCCTTGCATATTCACAGGCTGTCATGTTTCATTATATGAGGCATGTTTATACCTTCTCCAGCATATGCTTATTGGCCTTCCTGACATAGCTTAAATAAAAGTTACAGAATTTTGCTAATTAAGTAAGGACATTTGGGATGTAAATGTGTATCTCCTCTCCTTCTTAATTATACTGCTTTGATTTAAGATGGTGAAATCCACCATTTGTTGTCTTTCTTGCCATATGTAATTGCTGAATTTTGCCACAGGGTGGTACACCATGCATATTTAAGTGAAAGCTTTTGTAATTCTTCTGACAGCTTTTTTGTGACTGGTGCCAGCTTTATTCTACCAGCGAGGGAACAATCTGGAGACATCAAAACAACTGGCCATATGCCAGGACTCATCTACTTTAAAATAATTTGCATTTGGAAGGAGCAGCATGGGCTATGATTCCTGCGATGACACATTCAGACAAAGGGGTTCTTCTCCTAAAGATCTCTGCAGATACTGTACTATTTACCTGTTTCTATATATAGACCATTACATAGGAAGGCTGCATTCATCTTATTTTTCTCTCTCTCTTGGCCTGTATTAGGCTGTAAGTTTAAATGGAGCTTGTATTATTATGCTTCTAAAAATTCAAATGCACACTTTTGATGGGTTATTATCTTCTTTAAATGCAAAGGACTGTTTTCCTATTCCACTCAACTGATTAGTTCCAATGAGAGCACACATCTTGAAAATTAGTAGCGTGCAAGGAAAGAATTTGAGAAAGCCAAACAGACAGATCCAAGAACTGCTAGGTTTCACAGTGACTAGACTGCAGCTCTTGAATTATGTATTTTGTAATCACTTGTAAGCATGTTTCTTAATGTACTTTGCGTAGTGTGCACTCTTACCAAACTTGAAAGACATGATAGAGCAATTATTTTTCTTTTAAGAAATCGAACAGCCCTATTGAATTGGAAATGTGTTTGCAATGGCTAAGGAGATAAAAAATTTATAAAGAGTTAATTGTCCAAATGATTTTAAGAGTTTAGTGTCAACCTTCATTATAAATAATTAAGTCCCTTACCAAAAAAAGGCATAAATTGCTCAGGGGCAACACATTGTCCCTAATAAATGCAGGCATTGCCAATCAGAAAACAACTATTTGTGCCTCTTCCAATTTATTTAACCTGACCAAGTCTCAATTAAGGTGGAATTAATCTCGTAACTTCTGGAAGCAAACTAAAACACTTCTCTAGCATAGGAAAATCCCATTTTCATTTAAATTCAATCATCTATATTTATAGACAAGCATAATACATTGATGCATTTTTATTAATCGTGTTGGTTCAAAATTATTGAAGTCTTGAAAAATCATGTCCGTGTTTGTCTCGCTGGAGCAGATATGGATTACATGAAATACCATTACCATAAAGAAGCATCTGTTGCCATGTAATACATTTTATCCACATAACTGGCAATGTTGACAATTGTGGTTAGCGCCATCCCATTACTTAGAAGGAAACTCCAATTAAAAACAAAAGCAACACTTGTACAGTACATGCAAATGCTAAGTAATATACTGTCTTTTTTTTGTAATCTGAAAAATATGTTTGCAATTCTAATGTTTTTGGTGTAACAATTCAAGAGGCTCATGAGCCCTCGCTAAGGTATGTGTGATATCTGAATTTTAATCCAGCTTTGGTCACAAGTGAATGGCTTGACGGGTCCAATTGTTTCTGGCAGAAGACAGCCAATTTACACGTTGTGTACAGACAGCCCGAATTTACAGAGTGGTGTCTCTCTGACAGGCAGTCCCACTGCCATTAAAGAGCCCCTCAATTTTAAATGCATGAGAGCCCATTCACAAGGTCCATGGATGCATTTTAAAAGAATCTCCAAAAAGGCATGCTATCTCTTAAGGATGCATGCTCAATTCCCATTCAAGTTGAAAAAAATGTTTTTTTTTTATCAGCAAAGCCTCTAGCCTGTTTTACCAAAGCTGATGCCTTTGGAAAGAGGCACATTTTCTTAATTTAATAGTATTCATTTTGACATAAAATTGCCACTTGTTGTTGCATTTGTATGATCTAATCAATGCATTCTGCCACTGGCTTCTACAGGTATGGTGAATGTTTTAGACACATTTGAAACTAACGCAAATACAGGCTGCATATGATGTAATTCTGCAGGGCAAGCTCTTCTGGTACTGTAGATCAGGGATTCTTCAGGAAAAAGTAAGTGCTAGACAATAGCTCAGAAGCCCCACAATACAGTATATGAAAGCATATTCAGTCTTGATGTAATGTATACTATACTTTCTATAAATTTTAAGATCTAAGGGTAAACAATTAATTAGAAATATGATATAGCTTTAAAGAAGTAATAGAAAATACAGAATGTTTAACATTGCAATTTAAAAGTTATTGAACATATACTATACTATAAAGACCCCAAGTGAAAATAGACTGTGGTGCCGCTTTATTTTGCATATTACCATGGTAGGCAAAGGCAATTTCCATGTATTTATTGAATGAAATTGCCACTTAGCATTTAATGTTTATGTTTGCACACACATCCACAAGAATATACTGTAGCACTCTTCTCTTGGTTTTCACCATTGCACTCTTCTACCCAAGGACAAAAAAAGGAAACTCTATGAGTATAATGTTAAAAAAACACAAACTTCAATTGATACATACCAAAACCAGAATCTAAGGCTGGAACTCTACCAGCGTCACAGGGTTCAAAATAACCATAAGTTACTAACCCCTCTCGCAGGATCTTCCAAGGTAGCCGGTCCCAGAGCAGTCACAGACGTATCGGTTCCAGCCCTCTCTGCACACACCGTTGTTCTGGCAGGGATTGCTAAGGCACTGTTTCGGCACCTCCCTGGTACACGATGGCTTCACTCCAGCTGCCTTTTGGACTTCTGCCATCCTCCGAATGTCTTTGCTCTGACCGTCAATGAAGAGGTCCCTGATGCAGCCCACATACCCATAGTTAAGCAGGGCTGTCCACACCTCAGTGGGGAAGACGAGCCCTACTTTGTTCTCTGGCAGGCCACCTAAGTACAAGTTGTCATCCAAGTCAAGGATTTCACTCTCTCCTGGTGCTGTGTATGCTGTGCGGTGAGTATTCACAGATATGGTACCTGGAAGAAGGAAAGAAGGTTAGATTAGTAAAGTAGCTGCAAGGCAACATTAAACATACAACTATTGATTAGCTGTAAATGTCATAATTTCATAGGCTTTAAAGAAAAGGGGGAAAAAACTGCTTTTTTTTTCACAGGATTGCAAGAATTAAAATGCAGACAATGAATTGAATTAGAATGCACGAATGTATGAATTAGCCTACACATTGCCTTAAGTATATTTAATTCTACGAATTCTACGAATTCTGATTAAACATACTTTTTATTCTTTATTTAAATGTATATTGAAGTAATAATGTGAACTTTCATTTTTTATTTAATGATTTGTATGCTGTTAACACACCACTCCATCCTCTGTTTCAAAGATGAAATTGTTGCACAACTTTATGTTCTATTCCATACATTAATATTGTTGTTTCATTTGACATTGTTGATTATTGATCAAAACCTTAAAAATGATCAGACTTAAATCCTAAACACATAGGCGTACTCATCTGAAATAGTTTGTTTTAACTTAGCTATACATTTTCACCAGGCGAAAACCCAGCCCAGTAAACAATAAAGGTGACATAATTGCTCCGACACTGCATTGCACTCCAAAAAGAAAACATATTTAACAGAGATGCAGGTTATACAAAACAAGTGCAATATTGTTATGGCCATCCTATCAATTAGCTTTGTCGTCTGTATGTAAGAAACAACTCAAACTGGGGTGCAGTTTTTCTTCTTTACTTATGCACACATACCTGTATAAATGAAAATTGTGTGCTTTTCTGGGATGTATCATTTTGATTCAGCTTCAATTCTCGATCCAGTACATGACAAATAACGATGTACATGACTCGACTGTTAAAAGTGAATATCTGGATTGTGCTGCGAGGTCCGACATTTGATTAATATGTTTATAGATCAGGTTTCTAGTGAACAGCCATTGTGGAATTTTAATTAATGATGCCTGCCTAAAACCTCTGCATCTTCTCCAGTAATCTATAGCTCTAAATCCTGCCAAAACAACATCCGAAGAAAGGAGTCCTAGTAGAATTTGAAATAATTTAGCTTAAAGTTCTAAATACATCAGGGTTTACTAAAGAGACATAAACATTATGTGCTCTTAACAATACTATTCACTGGTAATCTACTGCTGGGTTTTCTAATTGGAAGTTAATCAGGCTATTATTAATATAACTGAATAAAATTGAAGCAGGAATTCTACAAATTAACAAATTCTAAGTTTCACCAAAGTAAACAATTGCCCTTTTCGTGCTGCATTTGTCTCCATCTGTGATTCTCTGGAATTTTAGTAAAATCAGTGAAATGCAAATTACTAAGAGTGTAGCAATGGTTTTATGGATGAAAACAGATCTGCTGAGATTTCAGGCTCAATGAGGTTACAAGTGGTCGTATGATCTACTGTATGAGTGAATCTGATTCACTGAATTGCCTGCTTCCACTGTTCTTTGTGTTCTTGTGGGGTTTTTGTTTTGGTTTAGACTGTTTTCTGAGCATGAGGTTTCCTTAACAAAGAGAGTTAAACGTCAGGTACTCATTCATTCAACAGACAATTCAACTACAGTTGTAGTTGACAAAAGCTCATGTTACTAAAATCATTGGGAACTCCTCATGGATAATAAAAACAGGCTAACTATTCTGATCCTTAGTGTGAGAAAAAAAGTAAATATTTGACAAATATTCTGCAAAACAACAAGCAATGAACAATTAAGCAGTGGGTTGTCTGCTGATTACAGATCACTGGATGCGTTCTCTTCTCTTCACAGCCTCACACTGACAAGAAAAGTCCAAGCTACCAGAGCTTTTTTGTGTTTTTTTTGTTTACATGGCAGGGCTTTTGTTTAGATTTTTGATTACTATTTGCTTTTCTATTCATTAATATTTTGTTTAGTGGCTTCCAGGAGGCATGCAAAAGAAAATGCAGTCTTTCTCTGCCCAAGGTCAGCCAGCCTACAGCACAAGACTGAAGAAATATCAGGACATTCCAAAGGATGATTAACCCAGCCCAAAGTGGTCAAGGCCCTCCACAGACTAAGACCCTCACAGCTGTTCTGCCTTTTCTGTACTGCAGACTTGGCAATAATGAAGAGATGCAGAGCCAAACATTTCCCCTAGGTTAGTGCTAATGAGCCTACTCCATCATATTCATTATCTCAGCAATTTCATTTTTAACTCTGTTTACCGGGAAATGGAATCTTCATGCTCTGTTATGTTTGCAGATGTAACCTGTAATACGCAAGTTAAGTCACTGCTATTTAAAAAACCCCACCACTGAATGTATGCTATACAGCCAACAATGAGTCAGCCACAGTGAAGGCAAAGAAAGTTCTTTCAAATAATGTCACAAAAGCATTAGCAACCATTGCAGCACAAACCTTTGAAGCTCTGGCCATGCCACTGAACATGAAAATCCACTAAAACTCTTGTTAAGAAGGCAAATGTGAACATAGCGATGATTGAAAAAAGCTACTGTGTATTATTATCCATATATATGTATGACTTTTATTTATCTTGAGAAATTAGGAAATCGGTGTTATAATTGGAATGTTTAGGGAGTACCTACGGAGTGTACAGAAGCCTATTTCGGGGTATCCTTCACATCAGAGTTTTTGTGCTACTGCGCAGTTCACTGCCACACTAAGGCCGGAGGGAGGGGCGACATCCCAGGTGTGTGGACACATCTGTCTCTAAATGGTAATCTTCCAGAAAAGCAGAAATTGGAAAACTGTGTTTACTGCTGATTTGCAATGTTTCATTTGGAATTAAGACTTATATCCCCACAGGGAGGCTCACTATTAAATAGTGCCATGGTTTACTTATTTACCTGCTTGTGTAAGAACATGCAATAATATTCCAGACAGTATTTTTCAGTGATGGATTTTTAATGAAAGAACATTTATAGGCAAACATGCACAGGGGCATGTAAGAGAAGTCTTGTAATACTGTGAGAGAGTTATTTCCCTCTCATAAAGGGCCTGTTTGAGTCATTAAGTCACTTCTTTAACAAATGTATGGTCTGACAACACGATTCTTCGTCTCTCTCTCCATGCGAAATTCAAGGGAAACCCATCTGTCTGTAGGAGTCTGGCTACAGTGCTGATCCCGATTTGATCACATGCTGTTGATATCAGTAATCCTTTTTACTTCACATCACCCATGCTCCCAGTCGAATGGCATATGAATGAGATTTAGGAAATCTAGCTGTAATAATGCACGAGAATCTCTGAGCAATTCAAAAGCTATTGTCAGATTCTCCTGGCTCATATAAGATGTCTGGCAGTATGTAATGAAACTTTAAAAAAATATATTTTACCTTTGCCAAAGATTCTTGGCAAAGTGTTTTTGCTTCTACGCAATTAGAACATAATGAAAAGACCAGCTTAATTTTTTAACCGAACATTTGTAACAGAACAATCCCAACGTGCAATTCCTAACTAAAACTAAACCATGCAGATTATGGATGTCCCTTTACATTCACAACGTTCTTCTCCACACACACACAGATTGTATCAATTAAATGGGGAGGGATGCTGTGATACCCATGTGCATCCGTAAAACAAAACAAGAATGCATACTTTGTGTTTTAAGGCTCAATCAGTCCTATAAAGTAATGTTAATTTTGTAGACAATATGAGCAGTATTTAAATGATCTAAAGCCCTAACTGCAGAAGCTAGGGAAGTGACATTGGCTTATAATAACAAATCACACCAACAGAACAAAATACAGTATGCAGCCTAGCTGATCAATGTGGCTGTAGAGCTCTCAAATTAGATTCAATAAACTGTGGCATCTGCTAGATAAAACAGAACCTGCTAAAAATGTGCTATAAAGAGGAAATCTTCAGACATATTTTAATAACCTAAGTCATCTTGCTTATCATGGGTTGTGGGTCATGAGTAGGAGTCAGTCTGAGGCGCTGCAGTTTCCAGTACCCTGCTACTGCCCTCCAAACCCATGGACACACTTCCTTCGAGTCTCGCTCTCTCTTGAGGCCAGTCGCATCTGCTGCATGGATTGCTTCCAATTCATAACAACTTGTGCTGTGAATATTCTTTCTTCATACATATTGGTTGTATGTAGATTTTATAAACACAGCACAATGACACATGTCAAACAATGGCCCTACCACCTGCATTTCCACTCAAGCCCAGCATAGAGAACTGTATTACAGGGTATAAAATCCCCAATTAGACAATAGTGTAACTTCAAATCAGAAAATAAATGGCAGAAGAGTACTGGAAATGATGAATTAGGATCGCAAGATACTGTATACAATGACATTTCACATTAGAATGCAATGAGGTACAGCACTTCTTCAAAGGGCTGGACTTAGAAGAATGAGAGTATGGCACAACCTAAGTTGGTTTGTTGTTGGCTCACGTGGAAAGAATCAAAATAAACTGTGTACTAATATCAAGATGGATAAAATTAATTTCTACTAATGGGACTGTTATTTACATACTGTACCTGAGAAGACAGGTGAAACAGATTATACCTGTGTTGTCATGATTGTTGGTTGACATGTGTGTTTTCATTTAACTTTGCAATAATTGGCTACTAATATTTTGTGACACGAAATTTTAGATCAGTAGTCATCTACATGTACTACAGCTTTCATTAGAAGCATTGTCCTAAAATTGGAAAGTGAACTCTGATGGCACTGGGCATTTAACACATACAGAATTCATGACTTGACTGAGTGTCCCTAGAATGAAAAGCAAATTGGAGGTTGCCTTTCTGCTCATAGATTTGAAATTGCTGTTTCATCTTTTCTTGCCCTTGTTCATAAAGTGTCTGTGTAAGGCAACTCAGGCATGCAGAATTCTGATATGTTTCACATCAAAGTTTCAATTTCACACTTCTAAACTACCCTTTATCAAAGTGTTTTAATCAAAAAATATTTTCCAAGCATAATGAAGAGAATAAAAAGTTAATATGGCATACTGTAGAAAGAGTGAGAAGCTAATTATAAATCTAAAAGAAAACCCAAGACTAATGTTCCTATTTAATGTATATAGCATATAATACATTAAGCACAACTTATTTAAAAAATATATATTTAAATTTGATCATTTTTATATCCATAATCAATCAGACAGCCTACTGACTGAGTCATCTGTTTGTTTAAGGAAGAACTGCTTCTTGTATGCAGTTTTGTGACCATCTTCAAATTCAATCATTTTAGGATTCACTAGGATGTTTTAGGAATATTTGTTGCAATGTGATGAGAGAAGCTCAAGGGATGAATCTGAGGGATGAATTAGATTTTTCACATACAGAAGTCATAGCTAGAGTGTTATTTTAAAATAAGTCTTTAGAACTAGAATATTTAGAAGTATATCCTTCTTATATGCATGGGTTTTGTAGGCATGTGAAACTCTTTCTGCTTTTGAAGGTACAGAAAGAGAAGCACTGCACTGTATGTATTCACAAAAATGAAGTACTGGATGATCAACTATAGATAGAACAGCTGCAACTAATGTGGACTATAGTTTTGCTACCTCTTTAACAGTCAATATGACACTTTCAGCAAAGTGTACAGCATTTACTGTATACACTCTACATTTTACGCCTTTTATATTACCTTTAAAGGCGCTATATAAAATAAAGTTTATTATTATTATTATCATTATTATTATTATTATTACATTTCAGAAATACTAAGAGAAAAGGTTTCTGTTATAAATATGTTTTCTCATTTCAACAAATGAAGTATATAAGAGACGTTTGGGCGGAAGGTGACATTCTGATCTCGCTCATTTCTGCTCGTCTATATATATACATGTACAGTACTGTAAGTCTCATGCCCAGGACTTCCTTTTATGAAACTCTTTTGCACCTCTTCCACCATCCCATCTAAACCCTTGCAGCAACTCCTTCGCTTATTCATCTAATAACTGTATTTAACTATCCTCTGAGGGAAAAAAATCTTCTCTATAGCATTTTGGTATGGGCTATTGGGGAAGCCTATCCTCACTACTAGGCTATCGTTCCCTCAGCTAGGTGAGTTACAGTAGAAATACTTTTCCATCACTTTATCGCATTCATAAGCAAACTACTGAAATCTGGATATCTGAATATTTTGAAAATCTATTCTCAATGCCGGAATTTAATTAAATGCTGGAAGCCAGTTATTGCAATGCAAACACAAGAATAGTACTAAAATAGCAGTCAGTGGCATTAAACAAAAGCTTTATGGATATATAAGAATGAAATCAATACTCCACTCCTGATGGAATGCCAGCATTACTATGGGGGCACAGAAGCTATTGCAGAATGTCTAGTGAGCCAGATTCCATATCCACTCATAAATCATTAATAGAGAGCAAAGCAAGCACTTTCATCAGACACATCACACAGGACATCTATCTAACTGCTTTTCAAAATACATCTGCAAAGGATATGAGTGGGCTGTGCTTTGTTCACAGGAAACAGATTTTCATCTTCTTATTATTTTTCCATCCAAAAATCATCACTGGGTAGAAATGTGAAATATATAGCATTTGTTTTTAAAAGAATAATTAATCATTTATTGTATCCAAGTATCATTTTCCATTTTTCATTTAAACAGAAATCTAAAAACCTACAATACGCAACTGCATGCATGCTTTGGTTTAATAGGCAATAGTAAAGCAAATGAAGGATAAAAAAATCAACTTTCTAATGACGTCCGTTCCCAGGAATACAGGGACGTACTGTACAGTACTTTCTATATACAATATGTAAAGTCTATAAATCTATAAAATCTATTAGTGAAAAAACATTGTATATACTGTATGTACAGTAAATTGCCCATACTGTATGTCATAACATACCAATTGTTTTGGAGGCTAGACATGCTGAAGGACACATTTCCTCTGAGTGTGACTTTCCTTCACTGTAGTTGTTATCAACCATGAAGACTACACAGAACTGCAGCACTGACTAAATGAGAATCTGAGTGAATGGGGATTCTTACTCAGAAGATAAAGAGCCTCTGGCTATCAAAGTCTGCAATGACTGACAACACTTCAGCCAATTTCCAAGTATGCACCATAGATGCATATTCACACTGCATTTTGCTGCCAGGTAAGAACTGAGGTGCTCCGAGGGTGCAGGCATTGTAAACATGTTCTGGTCATTCAAATCTGTTTGTTTACATGGCATGTTGATGCCATGTAAGGCTGATTGAGCTGGCAGTTTTATTCCCACCTTGTAGTCAGATCGTATAAGCTAAGCAGTGCTGAGCCTGGTCCGACCGAGATTGGAGACCTCCTAGGACACCCAGGTTGCTACTGTCAGTGGTGTTGCAAACCTGAAGGCGACACACTTCCCTCTGGAGCAGAATTTCCAAATCAATGTCCCTGTATGCTGACAGGAGGCATTGTGCAGCAGAAGGTCCTTTGGATGAGACATTAAACTTTTCGTATTAAACTTTTATCTCTGTAATCCTTTGGGATGAAAAGTACTACATAGATGCAATAAATTAATTATTGAGAACAGATTCAAACCTCTAGAAAGGAAGGCTTTAATGTTTCCTTTATATTTTAAAGGAGGTGTTCATAGATGGCAAAAAGGCTGCTTCACACAACCAGATTCCAGCTCAGCCACTATAACTATCTGTGTAATTTGATGCTGTCCAGAGCGCAGATAATCCTTTGTGATCCCTTTGTTGGTAGCATGCACCCAGTCTTGTAACAGTAATGTAGTACCAATGAAATCTTCTTCTAACATAATTCGGAAATGGCACCAAATAATTCAATTTTTGTACCTCTGTTGTTTATAACTAGGCATCCTGCAAGCATGTTCAAAATTGCAGTAAAGAAGAATTCTCACCAGTTACCAATAGCAAAATTATATGTTAACATTTATTACTTTATATTGTTTTTATGCAATAAAAGTTTATCTGAATATGTTCAGTTAATTGTATTATGCTGCATATGTGAGAAATGAATAACTATTAAAAGCTAACATTGTTCTCGTGCACTTATAATCCTGTACAGTATGTAAGTAAAAAACTCTAAAATGCTTATCTGTAAAAGAAATAGCAAAACACATTATGGAATATGAAAATCCCCTACATGTATACTGAGGTGATTATATGCAACAGTAATACTGGGTTCTCAAAAAATTTGTAAGCACAATGAAGGAAGTCATTCTTTAATTTATGAGCTTATGTTTTCTTTTTTTTTTAAATGAAAGAAGTGACCTGAAAAAGAAAAGTGCTCTAAATACTTTCACAAATCTGTCAGGCTGTCATGAAGAAAAAAGATAATATTTCAATGAACCGACTATGCCATGAACATAGGGATGAGATTCTTGCAAGAAAAATAACAGTTCTGCACTCACAAGTGCCTGTGACTTCAGAATGAAAAATAGGAGGCACAATAAAATATACTGTATGATAAAGGTAAAAGACCAAATGAGAGATTCAGGGTATTCCCCTCACATGCATTAGTCTTAAATTGCATCCTGTCACCTGTTCTATTTTAACATGACATATGTTTGGGAAACATTTTTTTATTTGACACAAAATTCTAAGATGGTAACAGAGATGTAACAAATAATGGTAGGATAAAGGTCTATAAGAAAACTACATTCTCCCTCAGTTAATTTGTGCACTGTGCACTAAATGGTTAATTCCTGTGAGAGCCAGATTCATGTTACTATAGTAACACAGGCTGAGCAGAGAGAACTTGCTTCCAATAGATTTGGTTATAATCAGATAAATGTTTTACTTTGGATGGTGTGCAATTATTATTATTATTAGTGTTATTATGCATATACGTATACATTACACTGTTAACTTAAAAATATAAAAAATATCAGATATTTTAAAAACTTATAGTACCATTATTCCCAAATTAAGTTGGCTAATTAAATTACATGTGATGGTTCAGTATTCACACTTTATACATTTAACTTTTTAACAGGGATAAATATGTGCAGCTCACTGTCTGAGGCAACTTTCTACGTGTAAATGTGTGAGAGAAAGTGTGCATTGGAAGATAAATTTCTTAGTTCACTTCCATATTCAAGTAAACTAGCAATTATCCTTAAAACAATTAAAACAAATTGCTTAAAATCTCCTTTAGCTAAGCCACATATACTGTACATGAGCATTTGCAGAGAGGCAGCTGTTACAGTAGCCTAAAACTCCAACACAGTATGTGGTTGCTCAGTATTTGAGCACTGACCTTATATTCATTGGTGCATGAGATAAAAAGCCCCAGAAAGGCACTTCAAACCCCAGGTGTGACAGTGTGAGCTTTACTGTCTACACTGTGCTGTCTTATAGATGGCCCAGCAATAGGGAGAAAGCACGCTGTCCAGAATTGCATGGGCTAGAATTGAATTGCATATCACAATGAGTGCCATGTTTGACACTGCTATCATTGTTTTTCAGTCAACTATCCTAACTACAGCAAAATAAGGGAACTTTGAAAATTCATAACCAAGGACATTACAAATTTGTTTAAAAATGCATTTCTGATCAACCCAGTCTGAGTACTATGAATCACTGATTTATAGCCAAACTTTTTTTGTTTAGGCTTAGTACTACTGTACAGTAGTGTTTCTTATTTACTGTACAGTTCACTTATGCTATTGTTTTTATTTTGCTACAGTGCATAACATACTGCTCTGTGTTCATCTTAAAAATTGATTTTGAAAACTTGAATTTAAAAAAATGTAACAACAAAGGCCAATAAATTAATTGTACTCTTAAAAACAGAGGGTTGTTTAACATGCTTACTGAGGACAATTATCAAGCCATTAGGCTCCAAATCATTCTATCTTATTAATTCTAGGAGGGGGGAAATGTATTTGCAAACGGAATCTGGCAAAGCCGTTGCTTTGGCGACATACTCTAATGTACTAACAGACGACAAATGACAACAGGATGGAAGCGTCACAGCATGAAATAAGGGAGACAACAGTCTACAGTAGCTCGGCATGCTCCAGCAGGTGTGGCAGTACCTGATCGCCCGTCCCTCTGGAAGTCCACATGATACCATTCTCCATCGTTCACCTTTTTGTTCACTGCTTTGGTTTTGGTGGTTCCTGATCCCATGTCAAGTAGAAGGTAGAGGTGGCCGTCCAACATTTCAATAGCAAAGAAGTCCACCTTCATGGTCTGAGGATTTTTGGTATCTTTCTGCTGCTTTGGCTTGCCATGGCTAAAGAGAAGTAGTCCATTCGGCTCTGTGGTGCGAAAGTCGAAGGACACAGAGCCCGTTTTCTTAGCATTCCACTTGTGCAAAGTGATGTAGGACTCTGGGGTTTCAAACGTGATGGGGTCCAAGGTGGCCACGTTCTCACATTTGAATGCTACAACACCATGGATCTTCATTTTGGCATCCCCCTGTTTAGCCAGTCTGGACAGTTCTAATCTGACATCATTGTTCTTATACACAACCTGTTCACAAAGTGGAAAACATCAAAAGGTTAAAGTTGCAAGTTTAGGAATAAACATAGTGTGCCATTTAAAAAAAAGAAAATAACAGAATTCTGTTTGCAGCATACTTGTCCTACAGTATAATTTGCTTGTAATCATATCCATTGTTAGCTTTTGTACCTTCACTTAATATAGAACTTCATAAATGCAGTGAGTTGTTCTAATCACCTTATTATAAAGTACAATATTTAAAATATTTTACTTATTTTTTAATATAATAAATAAAAGACTATAGTATAAGTGAGATACTAAGATTATAGAATTATTGAGGTACACTCGTTTGGTTTCCAGAAAAATGTTAACAAATATATTGAGAATCTTGTACTGAATTCTGGGTATTTACAGAATAAGTATTACAACACTTCTACAGAATGACAAGTGTGAAAATAAAAGAGGCTTTTTAGGAATTAGCATTGTTTCAGTCAGTGTACTTAACATGTGTAAGAGCAACCACAGGGGATGACAGAGTACACTGTATCATTTCTCTCAGGAATCACTGTAGAGTTTAACAAGACCTAATGGCTGCTTCTAAGACACACTTTTGCTCTATTGCTGTGAAAATTATTCCCACTGTTTTAAAAATCCTGGCACAAATTGCTTTAAAAGCCAACAGTGCAAGAGTGAATTAACTTAAAAGCCTTTTAAACATTGTTTTGAAGCAAGCTATATACAATTCAGTATGTGTAAAGAATATTTTGTTAATTGGAAAATTGACTAATCTAAGTGTTGATATTTTCAATGGTTGTTAAATGCATTTAGTTTCACATCCAATTACAGATGAAAAGACTTTATACAGAACATATACTGTATGACTTGTATTTTGCTCTATGTTATATGTTTAAATTATGAATAGGCAGTTATGTAAAGATGCAGTGATGGGTATCTGCCTTTTCTAAATAACTGGGATCTTCGGTGGATTTCTAGGTCAGCTACAAAATAACTGTCATTTCATATTTATAGCAAAAAGAGGACACCAGTTCTTTATTCAAGAGCAGTGTTATTACCTCATTCTGCCATAAAACAACCTGTAATGTCACAAACATATTATACTACCAAATTTATCACCTGCTTCTTATACCAGTGACAAGAAACAAGTGACAAAAGTTTCCTTTCCCTTCCAGTTGTGCCCTAGACTGCTGAAGGACTGACTTGTCACACTTCATTCAGTATGAGCTTCAAAGCGCATGTGTGCCAACGGTAAGGGTGATCTTTGGCAGCAGTGTGCTGCTGAGTCTCATGGCTGCGATTACAGAATGACACTCCTGCTCTGTTCAGTTGTGCTTACAGTCAAGTATGGGTTGTGGCTGTGTGCACAGAATTGCACAATTCAGATCAGCAGGGCTCCCATTGTAGAGCTACTGGAGCTTTATTATCTCTCTTTTTCTATAAGGTGATACTGAGCAGTAGCATTGCTGTGGATCTTTTGACACAGGGCACGTTAATATCATTTTTATTATCAGAGGTATTCAATATCCCTCCTTTTAAATTGACTCAATTTTAATTTGAACTGTTTCCAGTAAAAATAATGACATGTAGATGCAATTAAATGGATACTGATGATACTTCAGAAATTTCAATCGTACAAGGTCTGTACTCAACTGAACAATGAATGTACTGTAAGCAGTTTTTGCAAAATCAATAAAGAAATATTACAATTACCAAGTATATATGAATTGGTACACACCACATATCACCTTTTCACATCAGCAGTTTATAAATGCAAAGATATTGCCACATTATTTCAAACAGACAATTTTGACTTAACACATTTTTCTAACCATACTGTATAGTGTTACAGTATCATGTCTGCATTAATAATGAACATTCTTAAATATCTACAGTACATGGACCAATAGAATGCATAAACAATACGTTTTGCTCCATTTTTTGCTATTCTGCAACACGACTGATTTTTAAAACTGTTAAAATCCTTACATCACACTTCTTCTTAATAAGGAAAGAATTTAAGGTTGTGAGGTTTTACAGTACACTCTTAAAGCACATTTACAACAAATGCAAATTGTGTGCTCCAGAATGAGAGGATGGGAAAATTAACTATGTAAGCTATGACTACATTCCGTGTTCTAGAATCTGAACCATTATCCTCACAAAAGATGTGTTCAAATTCGAGTCTAAACAGACAGTTAATATATTTTTCAGTATAAATTTGCAGTTGTTCAACTTGTTGTTGAATCCGATACTCGGGCTTCTTTCAAGAAATAGCCGGATGAGATCCACTGATCAATTTTCTACTAGCATCAAAACTAGATGGGCTAGATGGGTCGAACATCTTCCTTTTGTTTGCAGCCTTTCTTATGTTCTCAAGAGACCGTGAATTAAAAATACTGTAGAAAATACTCAGTGGACACTGTACGTCAACCAGCAACATTATCACAGAGCTGCAAAGAAAGCACATATTTATACACAGCTTCAGTATTTGCATATTTATTTGTGATATATATTTCTGAAAACCAACATCATTATCTTCTAGCAATGATGATATTTTATATTATAGTGCTTGTTCATGTCCAACAATGGCATGCCAGCATTTTTTTTACAAATATGTGCATAGTCTGCTGCTGCAAGGAATATCCCACACTGTTTCGAAGTACTCTATCTCCAGAGCCATTACAAGATAAGATCACTTTATTGACCATATACAGTACAATTTCTTGTATTAGGAATTTGTCTTCTTTTCGCATATCCCAACTTGCTCTCCATTAAACACACAGACAGGGAGAGAAGCCTGGGATCACTTACTGTATACGGTGACCCTGGACCAGTTGGGGTTAAGGGCATTGCTCAGGGGCCCAACGGAGCAGGGCTCCTCTGCTGGCCGCAGGATACGAACCGGCAACCTTCCAGCCACAGATCGTTAGTCACAGAGCCACTGCACCGCCCATTATCAGACACTTTGAAGAACACAAGTGTTCTTAAGGTACATTAAGGTGGAGTATGCATATAAGACACGCATAAGACCATACTTTTGAATTTAGTTATAATTTGAGTGTTTTGAAAATATCTTACTAATTGGAAATTACTAGCCAAACACACCTGCCATGTTTGAGTAGAAGCAAGATGCCTCTTCATCTTGCTACCATCAAATCTTGAATCACTGGGAAGGATGGATAAAATGCAGACTTTTGTGGATGCAAACATTCTAAAAAATAAAGTAAATTGCTTCTGTAACAAAATAATGAGCACCTAACGTAACTTCCTTGCGAGGGATATAAATATATGATGTTGGGAAAAAAAGGTACTTTATGCTTTTTCTTGCTAATGATGGACACTGAGCTGGAGTGAACATCTTTATAGTTATTACGACTCTTAGGACTGTCGAACACCATGTGATGACTCCTGGCTGATGATTACAAGCTTTCTGACAGGCAAAAGATCTCCTTGCAGTCAGTGTGGGAAAACAGCTGCGCTGCTTCCCCTGCCTCCCAACCTCTGTTTAGTAAACACATGCACAGTGACCTATTGTTTATTGATTCTGAACAGTGGTTGACAGACACATCTCTGAAACCCCTGGAGGAAACTCCACATCGTTGCACAACTCCAGTGATCATCAACTCATCAAGGTGTACAAACTAACTGCAATGGAACCACACAGACAAATAAAACAAATAATACACCTAATCTGTGTAACCTTCTTGTTCACAGCTCCCTTGACCGCCCTCAGCAATCATCCACACCAGGCACTTTCCCTTGCAACAGAGTACGCTGTATCACCTGCAAGTACACATCTAACACCACACTCATTCAAGGTCCCTCAGGACAATTCCGGATCACTCAGATGACATCTTGTACCTCCAGCAACTTTATTTACTGTATCTCTTGCAGTAAATGCCCAGCCATCTATATTGGGGAAACAGGAAGGAGACTCGGAGACCGCTTCAGAGAACATGTTAGGGCTGTGAAGATTAAAGATTTCTCCAAACCCATATAGTCTCATTTCACCTCCGACGGCCATGATCACACTGATCTCTTTGTGTTCTCAAAACTGGTTATCCTAACACCAACATCAGAAAGACTACAGAAACTAAAATTATCCTGAATATTCACACCTTCCCCCTTCTCTCAACAAAAGACTTGTTTTCTTCTAATTCTGTCTATTCATTTGTAGGTTTCATTTCACACCTCTCCTCACCTCTCTCGACCTCACACCACTTGATTGGCCACTCTGCCTCTCCCCTGCTCCTGCCTCCTCCTCTCTCCTGGCCTTTGTTTTCCCATGCTATATTATGTTTGCTGACTGCCCTATCTTTCTTACACCCGAAGAAGGCTCCACAGCTGAAACATTGTGTTTTCCTTCTCTTTGCAGCATGGAATTAACCTATTACTTGTTCCTTTGTAGTTTCTTCAGTTTGTTTAGACATTTCATTTTAACCACAAACAAACAACAATTCCTGCAGAACTATTAAAATGTTTTTTAATATTATAAAAAGATGCATCAATACTTTACGAGCATTGTTCCTACGCTCAGCTGGCCAATGTCATAGGTGTTCGTGCTACTACTGTATATCGCCAAATGACCAGACCCATTTGCGAGGGACTCAGCACTTAGTGGAAGAACTGCTTCTCCCCAGCAGGGTGAGCTCTCACTGTGCCAGACAGATCACAGCAGACACAGCTCATGGAGAGTCCCAGTTATATAATAGTTTATCTTTTTTAGTTCTCTGTTTCCTTTTGTTTCCAATTATGTAGATTAAAATACAAATAAATATATCATGTTGTGCTCTGTGCTGAATCAGTCATGTTGAGTCTTGTACTGAATCATTAATACAGCCATTAAAATGCACATTGTGCAAACTGCAAAGGTCTAACTACAGTACTGCAGCTACTTAGAGCTGCTTCTTCTCAGTGCAGACTGTCTGCTGTTAATATTAGAAAAAAAAAACAACAGATATTGAATAGAAACAGTACTGAAAGTGCCATATCTACTGTATATACGAGCAAAGAAGAATGAAACAACAATACTGAAATAAAATAATCTGCACTTGTGTTTACACATTGAAACTGGCCATGTGGAATGAACAGTTTCACTATCAGCCCTACATCAGTTTGTTCTGAAAGGTAAGTAAAAACTTCTGAGCAATGTTCTACAGTACAATGGGACACTAACTGGCTGAAGCACGACATGGCAAAATGCTTTCTATATCAGCAATTTGCAAATAGCACAGTCCAGGTTTCTAAAACACTGAAAATGGAGGGGCAACTATTATTTTGTACTTTTTAATCGAAACAGTACTTCTTGAAAGTATAACTGATAAGGAAAAAAGTGCAAAATGTTTCTCAAAAGAGATGTTTTTGTCAGCGCTCACCTGCATTTTATTTATTTGGTTGGTATACTACAAATTAACCTTTGTGCTTATTATGGACCAGTGTGTGCTGACAATAACATTAAAAGGAAGGACAATGGTAAAATAGAGACCGGTTTGCTAAGTGTACTTTTATTGTAAGGCCTAACTATACAGATTTAAATTAAACATGTGTGCTAGCTGAGAGAACGAAGGCAACCATGTACAGTATCACCAAGGGTATTTTCAGGTTGCCTTTGATAGCAGAACATCTACTGTGTCAATACACTAAAGAGAGAATGATCATTTAATTTATTTTTGGCTTATACAGTGTAGGAGAAGTGGGTTAGAGTAAATGATCACATACCAAATACCCACTGGCTCAACACACCCTCCAACGTTGACTGTTGGGCTAAAAACCAGGCTGAAATCATGTCATCAGTGTGAAAACTACCAAAAGGTCTATTGACTGTCTATTGAGCTTTATTTGACAGTAATTTTAATTCCCTCCACACTTCTCTGTCATCAGCTTTGATCATTTCTTTCAAATGACATTTTCCTGGATTAATAAGTCTGCTTGATAAATAGTGTCAAACAAATAAAAGGAGGCAAGCACAAGCATTTGCTGGACAGTCAATGGGACACAATATTTTGCTATGTAGAGTAAACTCAGAATATGTAAAGTGAAGACAGGGTCACAAAAAAAAGTCTACAACCATTTCATATGAACATAATACATACTGTAACTCATTATAATCTGAAATGTAATAAACAAAAGTCAAAAAACAAGTTTAATTAAAAACAAAAGTGAAAAATCAAACTACTTAAAAGCAGAGAACTTGCAATATGGAGAAAATCAATGTACTATAAAGAGTGTAGAGAGTGTAGACAATAATTCTGTATGTCTCTTTCCTTGGGATATACACATTTATTGTATGTGTGTCTTTCTTTCTGGCTGCTTCTTTTGAACAAAAAACAAAGCTTTTATGATTCTTTTACAAAGCTGAAGTAAATTGACAATATTTTTAGCAACAATAAAGGCAGCACACAAAAAAGGCAAAAAAGAAATCTACAAAAAGGGATCATCTGGGATTATGACCAAATTATTCTATTTCTGAGAAAAGAGAAGCATCCAAAGGCTCAGGAGCTTGGATGTGGAGCACACAAGGAGTAAAAGGCAATCAATAGGATTGTGAAGATAAAGGGCACCTTTTGAAGGCAAGAACATTCCAATATGAAATGAGCTACCTGGACAGCAACTATTACTCACAAGCTAACAAGCAAACAGGGTTTTTATGCCATCTGGCTAAAGCATTAAGAAACGATTCGCTAGCACTCCAATAATACAATTTTCAATACGGCACTCAAGCGGAAACATTTGTGTCCATGCTATTGCAGACAGGTTCCTAATCTTTAAAAAACAGGTGATTCAGGGTGACCTAAAAGACTAATTGGATTGGGGGTCTCTAGGGCCAAGGTTGGAGATTTCTGGCATCGAATATAGAAAAGTTTGTTTATAATGATCAAACAGTAGTAGAAAGTAGTAGTATAAAACATATTTCACAACTAGTGAAATGCCCAATATGACACCTTAGTATATATCTTAAACAATTGCTTAAATTATATATATGTAGAAATGTTTATATGCATTATTAATTATAATTAATAATTGCTAACACTTATATAGCACTTTTCTTGACACTCCACTCAAAGCACTTTACAGGTAGTGGGGACTCTCCTCCACCACCACCAATGTGCAGCCCCACCTAGATGATGCGACAGCAGCCATAGTGCACCAGGAAGCTCAAACATCAGCTATCAGTGGGGAGGACAGCAGAGTAATGAAGTCAGTTCATAGATGGGGATTACTAGGAGGCCATGATTGGAATCGGAATTGGAAATTTGGCCAGGACGCCGGGGTTATACCTCTACTCTTTTCATGAAACGCCCTGGGATTTTTAATGACCACAGAGAGTCAGGACCTTGGTTTTACGTCTCATCCGAAGGACAGCGCCTTTTATACAGTATAGTTTCCCTATCACTATACTGGGGCATTGTGAGCATCCCCTGCTGGCCCCACTAACACTTCTTCCAACAGCAACCTTAGTGTTTCCCAGGAGGTCTCTCATCCAGGTACTGACCAGGCTCACACCTGCTTAGCTTCAGTGGGCTGCCAGTTGTGAGTTGCAGGGTGATATGGCTGCTGGCATATTACCAGCATATTATTGATGTCTAAAATTAAAATATGGGCTTTACAGGGAATGCTGCTTAATGTAATATAAGCAAGCACGTATATTGTACATAGTATGAGTAATTACAAACATCAACATAGCAGTCTGTGAGATAAATCCTGATTCAGCACTTTGTTCCTAGATGCCAATGAGGGATAAAAGTCATTTATAACTTCTGGGGAAAAAAGTGCAGAAAAGCTCTTTTAAATTGCTGTATTTGCCATAAGCTGTTTGAAAGCAATCCCAGAAACAAAGACGTAGATCCTGACGAAAAAGAAAAAAAATGTACACATAGCAAAACTGAAATATAAATATTAAAGAAAATTAATTTCAGTTTATTATGTACAACCTAGGGGGGATGTTGTGCAAACTGCTCAACTCAGGAAGTGTTTGTCTTCAATTACATTGCTTTATTTTGAAAGACAGTTCCTTATAGGCTACTACACCATTTTTCTCTGTTTTGTCAGATGTAATGAAATACTGGGTTTAAGGAAATGCAAAATTCCAAATCTATCTAGGAGCATATCGTGCTGATCCTTTACCTATTTCAACTACAGCTGTCATGACAGCCATTCCAGCCTGTAACTGTCCTTTTGTGACTTACAACTTAGCTTGTTCAGTAAGTGACTGTGGAATACTGCAGATCAAAACTGTAATGAACTGATTGTGATTACTGCCTGATACCAACAGTATTAAACAGCACACTCTTATAAGAATGATATTAAAGCCCATTTCACTGGACAATATACAAATATACAATTTTGATAAGCCTTATAAAGGGGCTATTCAGGATTTGTCATTTTGACTTAGTATACACAAACCATAACTGGAAGTCTCTTTAGACAGTTCTGTTTGAATTACTGTGAAACAGTCATGGTTAATTAATCATAATTCGTTGTAACACCTGCTTGCTCTTGAAAACCACAGCCTTATTCTAAAAATGGCATTAAACAGTACATCAATGCACTATCTGGCTTACGATTTGATTTTGAACACCAATATTTAATTTAAAAAATATTGTACTGTAAATATAAAGACTGACCTCAAGAGAACCTTCACAGAACTGCAGTTTAAAGGTCATAGGATACATATTGAATGCCTGTTTACATCAAACCACTGGGTAAAAGAGCCTTATACATAAAACTGTGTTCGGACGACTACTGGTTTCAAGCGTAATGTGTCATTTCTTGAATCTTAAACAAAACTCAATAAAGCTGTTTTTTTCTATTCACTTTCCAGACAATTAATTAGTTGCCTACCCTGCACATATTTTGTGAACCTTGAGCACTGGAGGTCAATGGTATTGTGTGAAATAATTGCTTTTCAATACTGAATGCTGAAAAAGTTAAAACTTTTGGAATTACCTATTGTGTCAATGAAAGTATGCTCTTTTGTAAATGTAAATGAGCCAAACAGTAACTTGTAGGCCAACTGTTTGTTTTTTTCCAAATAATCACATTTCAATTCATGGATATGTTGGTTTGTAAATAAGAAATATTTTATTTTGGGGGATGTTTTGATTTTTTTATTGAAGATTTTAGTCTGCAAAATGTTAGAGATATAGCAATATACACTTTTTATTTGAGTAACAAAAATGTAATTCATATTATATTATGCATACTGTATGGAATGCATGTTTTGTGAAACATTACACATTTGATTCTCAAATCCCTGAGATAATATCATTCTGCAAACAGAATTCTGCATTGGGGTGAAACTCTGTAGAACGCAAATGTGCAAGTAAGCAGAGGTAGAAGGATTTGGTGATCTGTCTTTAGAAAGCACAGGAAACAGTGTTTACCTCCTTCAGGCAACCCATAAAGTTGTTGCTGACAGGGGAGCCTGGCAGATCCGCTGTGCTAGGACTGCCTCCAACATAGAAAAAGTCATCAGAGCCTAGCATGGTGTAGTCTTCCTGTGTGTAGCCAGTGGTAGTCAGAATTCCATCCACTGATATTGTTACCTAGATAACAAAGCACAGGGAAAGGACACGCTATACTCAGACACCTATATGCTACATTCCTGGATTGTCCTGTGTGAGGCCTATTTTTTGTCTGAAACCCATTTTCATGTCTGTTTTTTTCAGTTTGGTATTAGTTTCTAGTCTGCTACCCCCTTGGGAAATCTAAACTAGTTATGGAGTTTACCGATTATCGAAGTAATGTTAGTATTGTCCCTACTGCAACTCAAAAGTAATTTAGCAGACACAAAAATGGTGTTAGTAGAATGTTTCCTAGGTTAGTTTAGCTAGGGTACATTAGTATGTTTAGCAGATTGTCTTTCACATAAGAAACAGCGTGCTACAGGGTTAGATTGAAAGCACAAGCAATTAGAAGCACAATCACGTTTTGCATTGTTCAAAGGAAAAAAAGCGGTGTAACCAAAAAAGCATGCCTTTCTTTTCTTTTTGCATGCATGCACGCAAAAGGAAAATTAAAAAAAAAAATTAAAGGAAAATTTGATTAAAGGAAGCACACAGTGATGTGTGCATGCAGGAGCACATTTAGAAAAAAGTGACAAAGTTGCTTGCAGTGACTTTAAAATGGATGAATGGAGCTTTGCAATCATTCCACACATCCAGTGTTCATGCCATGCATTGTGAATGGTAAGAAACTGGCTGAGCCAATGAACACCAGGCCAGCCAGCCAGTAGCCTTATCCTGTTAACCACAGCTTGATGCAAAGGCTTGTAACGATGCCCCTAAAGGTGAATTAAACAGAATTGGACAGGAACAGGTAAAATAAGGAAGGTAACCAACAGATGAAAAGAAGGAATTCAAAGTAAGCAGAAGAGTACCAACCGCAGTTCCTTTTTTGTTAATGATGTCTACAGTAAAAGAAAGAAAAGAAACACACGGCAAACCCAAACTAAGAAACAATTAGAATGATATCTACCGAACAATGTAGTTTGTTTACCATAGCGTGTCCAATGCCTGAGTGCTTTGTGGAGAAGGGGGGAGAAAGGAAATTAAAAACTGTGAACAGAATAACGATTGTTACTCAAAAAATATGATGGTTACTACCATGTTAGTACATTATTCTGAACGTTAAAAGGTCACGGTTAGTAGAATGACACATTCCATGAATGACATGTTAGTTTTTAAGCATGTTAGTAACATAGAAAAAGGGCAAAATAAGTTTACGAGAAAAAAAGCAGACTAACGGATATGCCTCCACAGTGTTACCAGCACTGATTATTTATTCAGACCCTCAGTACAAAGCCTTACTAAGCATCTTTGCTACTACACTCTAGCAGCCCCATATTTCTAACATGTCTCCTGTTTTCTTGCACAGTATATGATTTCGACAGACATCAAATGGTTTTTAAGATAGATTGCCTAAAGCACATCAGCTGACCCTCTTTAACGAAAGTCCTTTGTTGTTGTTTTTTAAGTTTTGTTTACACCAAATCCCTACGACTGTAATTTACAGCACACATGGGAAACCTTCTCAACTCCCATGCCTCCTTCGGTCATATTGATGGACTTTAGGATCACTTTACTGCAATGAAACAAAGCAAAGAAGATCCCGACACAGAGAATGAGTAGAATGGATATCTGTAACTTCCCAACTAAGCATGCACCTACGCATTCTTAGCTTGCGTTTGACATCTTATGTTTTTGCCACAATGTGAGCAGGAGCAAATCTAGAACATTCTAACAGTTCTCGATGTCCCTGCAACCAGTTTACACAGGAGTGCATCCACTCACACTTTGTATCCTGAATGGAAACTCACTTAATTGATCTTCTTAACCTGGATGAATGGCTGCAATTACCCAAGTTTCAGTGTTTTCCTAATTAAACCAAGAAAGGCACGGAAAATGTAATTGAATTTAATATAATGTATTGTGCTGGGTTGTTACTCTATCGGAACTATTTATCCAAATGTTTAGAAAAATAATATGGTTTAGCTACTGTAACGAAGAACTGAGATGTCTCCTATCCTTTGCACGACACCTATCGGTTTACTCACTTCAAATGTTCTTTCAGCAAAATCCACAGACGTGTCTAGGAATATTTTGTTGTGATTTCAACAAAGCAGAGTTAAAATCTGTATCTTTACTTGCCATTAGTGAAATAAAGGAAGGTTGAAATATGTTGCTTCTAATGCAAAAGACCAGGAGGTTAAGGAAACGTTGGCATTAATTGCAGCTAAGACAAAAGTAAGCACACTGTTAGCCACTTGTAAGATGCAATTAAATGCTAAGCAGAAAGTATATCAGTATGCCAGTAAAGAAAGGACTCACTTTGCAAACTAATTAACACAGCTTCTGCTGTTGGCATTACATAAACCATTGCTGTGTTTACAACTTGGACATCAAAGTTAAGATTATAAATCATACAACTGCTTAAACACAAGTCACAGGGTGACAAACATTGATACAAAGCATGCCCTTCTCAATAGCTGTTAACTGAGCTTGCCTTGTTTAAATCAGGAAATGCTTTGACAGTCATTGCTAGCTATGACTCTAGAAATTAAATTAATTTCTAAGTGCTGTCAGCTCAAAATGTCTCATTATTTGCTCATCTGACTGACATTATTCTTCTAGCTATCTCACTGATACCCTGTTCTGCCACAGTATAATGCAGGAATTTTAAAGAGAGAACAGACTGCAGCTGCAGATGCTTTTAAACAAAGCAGGCTTTTTTAGCTTGGAAACAATTACTATACACAGGGTTTTTTACCATATACTAGGGTATTTAATGAAGTGCCAGGGAAGCTTTAACTAAAAACCTCCTTGATTTCAAAACTCATAAGTTCTAAGGTTCTAACCATATCTAACCCCTAAGGTCTAGATATGCCCCTGCTCAAATGTGGTATACTTTGTTGTATTTTTATAGACTTGTTATTATTTATTTAAAAATTATGTTTTAGAATGATCTGTAAAATTTGCCATTTTAATCTGAATTTTTGTAAAGAATATATATTTTTTCTTTGCTTATTATCCTTTGTACTGTTACCTGACGAAGATTCCTTGTTACTTTGACATCATGCCAATCATTGTCATTAAATTTCCCATTCACAGGCTCCACCAGAGCTTCAAAGGCTCCCGACCCCAAATTAATGACGAGAGAGACTGCTCCGTTTTTCAGAGCAAGATTGACGTAGTCAGCCGATTTGCCCGTATGTAGCATCAGTCCATTCCTCTGTAGAGTTTTGAAAGACAAAGTAATTTCATCGCTGCTGCTTTGTATAGGGTTCAAGGATAAGTCATAGCAGAAGTATTCAGACCCTTTGAAGGTGGCAACGTATTCTTCTTTTCCTGTAGAAGATAAAAACAAAGAAAAAGAAAGCTCTTAGTGGCAATACCTGTACAGTTCATGCTATTATTTTGGAATACAAAACAAAACTAACAAGATCCACTGCTGTGTCCATTTTCTATAATTTCAGTCCATCTGCAAATAAGACAAAAAACATCTACATGAAAGATTAGAGAGGATATAAAGATGCCTATGATTAGCAATAATGTAACAAAGAAGAATGAATCAACTTCATGGTAATTAAAGCACAGTTCCATTACCCTGCTGCAAAGCCCTTTAGGACTGGACTCCACAGAAGAACTAAAATCACAATCAGACAGACCAACAGGAGGGATTTGGGAGAATCAACAATGATTGAAAAAATGGCTACAAATGCATTGTCAAATGTTATTTAAACCAGCAGTTTTTCAGCAAGAAAGGGACCCTGAGAATGCAGTGCCTGACCATACACAAGACTAGACAAACTGGTTACACAAAAGCCACCAGAGTTCACATGTGTTAAGGACAAAAGTCCTTAACTGCTAGTTTTAACAGTATCTTAACTTTGACTTCAACATTTGGCCAATTATTACATTTTCCTTATTTATGTTAAATAAAAATTTGATTTCATTCATGAATTGGAACAAAACATATTGCTATGCACAATGGAAAGGCCGAGATTTGTTATTGTACTAGACTTGTTTACCTGAACTAACATTAGATTTAGAATCCATTAGATTCTACAATTAGTGCTGAGGGTCTGTGAAATCACTGGATAGAGTTTACAATAAGAGTGACACTTTCATATCCTTTGTGTGGCTTGTAAATGATGTAATGCAAGAACACTCAAACTAAATTAATTCTATTTCACTTAATTTCCCAATACTCATGTACACTTCTATCAGCTAGTATTTGAAATTTTCTGTGCATGTGTATTTCTCTGTGAAACTACATGCATTTACAGTCAATAAATTCATTCCAATATATAATTTGTCACATTAGTAGTTACGAACGTATGTCAGGAATTCGTTATTTAATACATGGTGCCAATTCATAAAATACCTATAAAAGAAAAACAAATGTATTATTTCATACAAACTTCACAGAGACCTTCAGAATGTATTCAGCCTCAGCAGGCAGTCAACACATTATCAAGCAGTCTCATTCCTCGAGGTCAACAAAAGGCTATTTGTAAGCATATGCCAAGGTCTTTGGTAATTATGACCATAAATAAACCACAGTTTTACCTTGTGCTTTAATTTTTAAATGTGACACACAAATCCATAATCTACTCTGCCTGCTCCCTGGGTCTGTACAATGCTTTAATACATTCTGAAACACAACTTTCTGTCATGCAACCAAAGCTTTAGTGTAGATATCAATGACAAACTAAAATGACCTTAACCTTTTTATAAGAGTGTACACAGAGAAGACACCGAGACTGTTAACCTTTGCTCCTGTCCTCTGAATTACAAAATATGAAGAAGGTTAACACCATTTCAAAGAAGCTACACTACACTTATAGTGTTACCTATGCTTTCATAAAGCACGAGACAGTACTTTTAAACTGGGACAAACACACTTATAGTGTTACCTATGCTTTCATAAAGCACGAGACAGTACTTTTAAACTGGGACAAACACTTTGGCATCCTACAAAGTGCTAGCACAAAAGACTATCAATACACAGGAGCATAAGGTAATTTCCATCAGTATATGTAACTTTGTCTCTGTAAATACAAATATTCAATTTCTATCCAGAAGAGAAAAGATAGCAACAATTTGGTGAACTGTGATAAACTGCTGCATTGTTTGCTGCTCTCAATAAATCAGTGAATATCTGTTGAAACCATTCCCAATAGATTTGAGTTTCTAAGAAATCTAAACAAGGTTAAAAAGGGGCATGTCCTTAATGATCTTTCTTTCATATTCGAACACAAGGCCTTTAATTGAATTACATTTTCCTCAAGGCTGGAAACAAAAACACAAATTAGAAAGCATGCTGCGTCTTTGGTAGGAAAGGGAGGATCCTGCAGTCATCTGATGATCAGCACTCAAGCCCTGTGACTGACAAGCGTTTATTTCATACATGGCCTGTTGGATACCCTATCTGTGCAATCACTGCAGGTAATCTCTGCAGCTTTATGCTATGGTTTGCTCTTCTAGTAATCAATAGAGTTATGGATTTCACAAACAAAAGAGTGCATAGAAGGTTTTTTGAATTTGCCCATTTTCTATGAAGCCTGGGAAAGAACAAAACACAAAAACTCATGTACTGTAAGGAGTACACAAACTCATCATCACCAAGAGACTTGCCTTAATTAAAAATCTTAAAATAAAAGACAGATTATTAATAATCCCTAGCATTATCATCATTTTACATCCCAAACATTATCAATGTGCTTTACAGAGGAAACCTACTTTAACTCCAACTAAAATGCTTCACCCATTTGGCTGTTGTGCTGGAGCAGTTATGCACCAGAAACCCCACTACAGAGACTATCAAGAAGAGCCATAACAAATTGCTTCCCTCCTGAATTAAGATCAAGCTTTAGGGAGGCCTGATTATACAAGCATGGAATGGAAATTATCCTGGATACCACTCCTGTTCTTTTGAAAAGGGCCATGATATCTCTAATGATCAAGTAGCTAAAACCTTGATTTAATGTCTCATCCAAAAGACGTCTCCTTCAGAACAGCTTCTAGCCATCATAGAAGAGCTGTCATTTTCCCATTATACCATTTATGAGGTACTAGGTTTCCCCCTCTGTAACTCGGGATGAAAGCCATTTAATGGGCTAAGACACAGTACACATCAATTACTATGCCACACCACTGAACATCAGAGAAATCAACCTTCCCTATCATGTTATGTACAGTAGCTCACTTAAGTTTTCTGGATGATGTACAGTAAATAACTGTAAACAAGTAAAATATTTAATTGCTAATATTTAATTAGGAAGACATAATTTTGCTTAATATACATACTTTTTTTTAATCTAAGGTACAGTACAAACCATATAATATATTACATCTTTCGCTCCAACTGTTTTTTTCTGTCCTTCAGTAACTAATTGCATTTGTTTTATTCTTTGATAAGGGTTATAATATACAGAATATACGTTTCTTTGTTTGGAGGTAGTGAGAGTTAGATGGTAAAATCCTGTCAGTGAAAGTAGTGTGAGATTTCCAATTATTTTGTTTAATTCTATATTTTTAGAATGTTTAAAAATCCTGCCATTATGGTATTATCTTTTTAAAATAATGGAAACGTTTCAGGGTGCTTAATAAACCAGATTTACTCTAAAAGTACCAAATGCTCCTTAAATTTAATCATTTTAGATTTCATTACTTTCTTTTTTCTGAGACAAAGCTCTGTCATATCGATTAATGCTTATTGCTATTTTATAACACCTATAATTAAAGATGACACTTGGTGCTTGAGTTATTAATGGTTTAGCTGAAGTGGCACCCATAGTTCAAAAGATGGGCCACATATTGATTAAATAAAACTTGTAAAATTACTAGCTATTCAAATCCAATTAAGAATGCAAAATGCATTAAGGTTCAAAGTACAAGACAGCACTGTACAGTCTGAAAACAGGGCAGTCAAGTGCCTTAGAAAAAAAAATCATTATGCCTAATATTTTTCAGTCTTAAATCATCTTAGATGTAATGAATGCAGAAAGACTGAAAAGTAAAGCAAAGAAAGTAGAATTTCACTTGAGAAAAATTATGAATTGCACAATTCAATTTATTTCAAGGGGAGAAACTGTACTCCTTGACAAGGCATCAAGACAAAGAGTAATGTTTAATGGTGCTTTTTAGCTCTCTGGGACACCAACGATATCATGAATCTCTAAACAGAAAAATGTGCTGTAGGGCAGAATATATCCTGTCCTAGCATTTGATTTCTTAATAAAACTCCAAAATAGCTTAAGTAAAATAATAAGCCACTTTCTGCTGACAAAATGAAATGTATAATTGAAGGGAAAAAATGCACCATAAGAATCATATCAGTTTCCATGGCTAGGTACTGTAGCTAGTTCCAGACTTCACCAGTTCTCCGTGTGTATATACAGTACTGTGCTTATAGAGTGTAATGCCTTCCTCTTACTGCCGGAGCTGATCCAGTAATATTCATAGATGCTCATTCATTCAGAGAGCTCCCGGCAAAGCGGGCTGTGCCAAAGTGGGCCAGGCTGCCATTTTTATCTTCAGTCAGGTTTCATTTCACCAAGCCACAGTTTAAAATGCTTGTATTTGATATTTCCAGTGCAAAATGGGAGACTGCCAAGCAGTCTGTAAATTACTGAGCTATAAAACAAATGTTTCTTCTCAAACGATCACTTCATAACATGCTGACTTGGGACAGGCTGTAAGGTGTTAGTGACTGTATAAATGTTGCTACGGGAGGTGTAAAACTATTAAAATAAGAAATATGTGTTTTAGAGTTTCTCTGACTTGGTTTCTTTGAAAGCAAGACATGGTTCTTATTTCTTATTCATTTATGGTAGTAATAACATGACTAAAATTCTCAAATTTAAATGATATAGATATGTGGCTTATTGTCTAATACAGTACCTAGCACTTATGCAGTGTGTCCTGTAGATGCAGCAGACTCTACTATCTATTACTGTATTCATATTTTCCATCAGAATCTTTTTTGAAAAGGAAAGAGATTAAAAATGCAGTGCAAGGCCTTTACAATAAAATGGCATGAAATATTGTCGAACAGTATGGCAGAGGGCAATAATGACTTACAAAAACAGCATTAATTATTAATATAAACATGCTTTCATTTACAGTTCAGCTTTTTATTTAGTTACGTATGCACTCTTCCCATGGGAACAGATACAAAGAATGAATAAAAGACATATTATATTTTTACCTGCAGTTGCTAACATCTAGTCAATATGAATATTTAATTACCTTCTGCAGTACACACATTTCCTTGAAACGGTTTCTTAGCTCTGGGCTGAATGCATACAGTATATACTTTCTACATAAAAATACTTTGGTTA